TCGTCGACGATGACGTTGACGACGGCGACGACGACGGCGTTGATGGCGATGACGATGGCGTCGATGGCGCCGACGGTGATGGCGACGGTGACGATGTCGACGTCGATGACGATGACGATGAAGGCGACGGCGATGAGGATGGCGACGGTGACGACTGCGAGGGTCCTAGCCAGGACTTGAGCGTGCGCGCGAAGCGCGCACGATGGTTTTAGTGCATACATATATATATGTACATATATGTAGATATACAAAGATGTTTTGTAGAAGTGTTGCCCGTCCACTGGCATCGTGGCAGCGAGAGATTCGACGCCCCCATGAGCGTTGGCGTGGTCCCACACTTTTTCGAACACCCACCTGTTGTATTCTTCGCTGCGGCACTCGAAACGCTCGGCGGACCGCGTGAACGACGGCAATAGATTCGATTTGTCAATGCCGACGCGTTCAATGTTAGTGGGCTCCGCGCATGAGGGTTTTCTATTTGACTGGGTAGTCGAAGGCCAGACTATCAGATTGGGTTGGGCCCCAAGGGCCAATCTGGCCCGGCCAAGCTGGATGATTTGGGTTATTCGCCAGACTGGATTCGCGTTGGCTCCCTCGCCAGATTGCCCCCGTTTGCCAGATTGGGCCTGCCAGATTGGCGCCAGATTGGCTTCGACTACCCAGTTTGAAATAGCGGACCGGCGGCACTCCGAATGACCCATGTCCCCCAGAGTGTTTTCTATCCCATGGCACGCTGTATTGCTTAGGCCAATGAGTCCAACGTATTGCCCTGTCTGCAAGCTGTCGGACGTGACGTCGGTATTGGAAGGCGGCGGTCGGTCATGATGATAATCAGGAGTTGGCGTACAGTCGATTCCTTTGCTTTTCATGCGTAAACTCGAGCCTGCGCCCAAATGAGTAAACGGAGTAGGCGCGCGTGCATCCTCAACACATGTACCTGAACGAGGCACGATGGTATCCGTCGCAACTGGAAGGGATGTTTCAAAGCTAGTTGCAAGATGTTGCGCAATAGATTCCGTAGGATGCGGCATCAGAATGTGCAATTCGTCAAGTTTCGCTTCTGTCGGCTGACGGGGTGCGTACTGTGGTGGAAGTTACTCAATGGTAACGCTCGGAATCACGTCTGGCAGTGTCAATATTTTTGTATGTTGACGATCTTCGAGCGAACTGAACATCATGTCTTTCAGCAGCATCGTTTGCCACTGTGCTCGTAATCAGTGTGTCCTCCGGTCCTGTTCCTTGCGCCTTTTCGATCGTTTTTCAACCCAGCCTCAAGTGAAACCTTGTGCTGCCAAGATTTGTGCTGCCCATCCTGCTGATGATGCCTGGAAGTGTCCACTGTGTTGATCAGAGCAAGCAGTCGGAGTTGCATACGGATGATAATCAAAATGCTGCTGGAATTGTCTTTTGTGTGGGCTCAAATAACCCAGCGTCTGGTCGTCAGAGAGTTGCCTGTGGGAGGAAGGCCTCGCGGGGTCAGCCAAAACGAAAGGGCTCCATGGCGGCGCGGATTGCCCTGCAGGGCGCGGCTTGCCCTGGCTCGAGCCAGAAGGGCTTGAGCCAAAGTGGCTGTTGAAGGCGGCGCTGCTCCATCTTCGCCCCCTCCGGGGCATCGCCAGGTGGGCGAGGGGCAGGGGCGGGGGAGGAGGAGGAGGAGGAAAAGGAGGGGGCGGAGGAGGAGAAGGAGGAGGAGGAGGAGGAGGAGGAGGGGGAGGAGGAGGGGGAGGAGGAGGAGGAGGAGGAGGAGGAGGAGGAGGAGGAGGGGGAGGAGGAGGAGGAGGCGCATCACCCCCGAGCGCCCCTTCGTCCCCGAGGGGAGCTTGATAGTCCACCGGCCGAGGCACGTGCGGACCTGCTGTGGGGGGGGCCGATTGCTGGTCTGTCGGCGAGGCATCGCCGAGTCAAGCTCGACGTGTTCCCTCCCTCTGAGCCGGTCCCCACCTGTCGTGCCCCCTCGTCCCTGCCCCCTCCTCGATCGGGACGGCCCCGATGTCTCCTTCGGCCCTTCTCCGAGAGGGCGAGTGGGAGGGAGGAGGAGTGGGGAGCAGGGGGAGGGAGGGGCCGGGAAGAGGACGAGGAGGAGCAGGCTCGCTCGCTCGCTCGCTAGCTGCGCATGGCCAGTTCTCGAGCCACTCGAAGCAGCGGGGGCCGCAGGGCATTCGAGAGCACTGCACACCCGTGGGTGTCAAACAGGGGGGGAGGGGAGCCCCTCACCCAGCCCACCCACACGTGACCCCCTGATTGCGGCACAGGATTGAGACCCCGAGAGCCGACGTTGCCGAAAAAAATGCAGCGTCGCAGAAAATCAGAACTGGCTCCCAGGACCCCACCTTTAGCCGGATCGATCCGTGAGGGTCTTGGGGCCCGAACTGGAGCGAAAACGCCCGGTGTGATAAAGTTGCAACGCCCGTATCTCAGGGGACGCCTTTGGCATCAGCAGGCTGACAAGGGTCAGGACCTGAGGCGCCCTACTGGAGGTGCCGAGGGGAGGCGAGAGAAGCGCAGCGGCAGCCAGGGGCCGTGGCGGCCGAGGGCAGCGAAGCGAGGGAGCAGGTGAGCCAGGCTGCACAGGGACAAGCACGCAGCATTACACACCAGGGCCGCCAGGACGCAGGTACGATGTCGTGCTGTGTGGTGTGCAGGGCGAGGGGGGCTCTGGGCATGCCACGAAAGAAGACCTGGGCCCCTCTACAACTACACAATCTGAATGTTACGGTCCTCTCTCCCCTGATAACGTCCAGAAGATATCTGGCTCCCCTGCGCGTGCTGTGTTTTTACACAGAGGATTCCCGGGACATGATTTTCGCTTAGGTATTTTTCGAAATGTTGTTCCCGCTGAAGCGCTGGCCCCATGTCTGCGCCTTTGGTTGTTCCAAATCGTGCTCCCGCTGCAGCGCGGGCGTTTTCCTGTCCGTCCAAATAGGGCCCCAAAATTTAGAAAACGGCCCCCCGAACAAAAACTATTCGAAGTGATTCCATATTCGGTGTCGATTCGTTGATTTCTTGGGCCGCAGAAGCCCCCCAAACAAAAACTTGGGGCGTCGTCGTTCGCAGGAAGTATCAAGCGGGAGCCCCCGTCTGCTTTGAGAAGGCGATGTTGCAAGCAGAGCCAGCGGGTGCTCTCCATCAGCCCCGCCTTGTGGGGAGCTTTTCGGTGAGCCCAGGGAGCTAAACATGGAGCCGCGACTCCAGACCGGTCCAAACCCTTCGAAGACGATCTCCATTTGCCCTCCAAGGAACCCGGTGCCATGCCATGACATGCTGTGCGGGGTTGTGTTCTGCGCCGCTGTGCGATGCCGTGCTTTGCGTTGCAATGCTTTGTGATGCAATGCTTCACGGCACAATGTCACGCCATGTTATGGTTTGCTACGCTCTGCCGTGCTCTTCTACGCCATGCCATGCCGTGATCGACCATGCATCGCGCACCCTCTCGCGATCATTGCCCTGCTCGACATCCGACTGTGCGAATAGAGAGCATATCTACGCCATGGGAAATAATGAGAGGGAGCGGTAGGACGTCAGATATGACGCGAGCGCACCTAGCTTGCCTCCTCCCCCTCCCCCCCCCTCCTCCTCCCCCCTCCTCCCTCCTCTCTCTCGTCCTCTCCCTCCTCCCTCCTCCCCCCCCTCCTTGCTCCCAGTCCTGCCTCCTCCTCCCCCTCCTCCCTCCTCCCCCTCCCCCTCCTCCCTCCTCCTCCCCCCCCCCCCCTCCCTCCCCCCCCCCCCTGTCCCTCCCCCTCCTGGACGAGGAGCAGGCGGCGGACCCGCGGCCGACGACGCCGGTGGCCGCCGAGGCCCCGGAGCAGGCCCCGCTGGCGGAGGCCAGGGCCCAGCCCGGCGCGCCGTGGCACGTGGGCGGCAAGGCGAGGCGGGAGGACCAGGAGCGCCGCCTCGCCCGGCGGCCTCCCCGCACGGCGCGCCGTGGGGGGAGGGGCTGGCTGTTCGGGGGGGGGGGGCTCGGGGCCCAGACCCCCTCGGGCACGGAAAAAATCACGACGGGAGGTTTTTGGTCATTTTCGGCCTTTGGGGGCCCTTACCGGGCCTCGGGAGCGTCAAAAAACGACTCAGGATGCAAGGCCGGTCATGTGGAAAGGGTCGGGATCTCTGGGGGTCGACGCAATGAAAAAGTCATGACGTCGGGGGTCTGGGGGGGAGGCGCGTCGGGTTCGGGGGCAAGGGAGGTTTTCGGGGGTGTTCGTCGGTCCCAGACCCCGGGACATGATTTTCGCTTAGGTATTTTTCGAAATGTTGTTCCCGTTGAAGCGCTGGCCCCATGTCTGCGCCTTTGGTTGTTCCAAATCGTGCTCCCGCTGCAGCGCGGGCGTTTTCCTGTCCTTCCAAATAGGGCCCCAAAATTTAGAAAACGGCCCCCCGAACAAAAACTATTCGAAGTGATTACATATTCGGTGTCGATTCGTTGATTTCTTGGGCCGCAGAAGCCCCCCAAAAAAAACTTGGGGCGTCGTCGTTCGCAGGAAGTATCAAGCGGGAACCCCCGTCTGCTTTGAGAAGGCGATGTTGCAAGCAGAGCCAGCGGGTGCTCTCCATCAGCCCCGCCTTGTGGGGAGCTTTTCGGTGAGCCCAGGGAGCTAAACATGGAGCCGCGACTCCAGACCGGTCCAAACCCTTCGAAGACGATCTCCATTTGCCCTCAAGGATCCCGGTGCCATGCCATGACATGCTGTGCGGGGTTGTGTTCTGCGCCGCTGTGCGATGCCGTGCTTTGCGTTGCAATGCTTTGTGATGCAATGCTTCACGGCACAATGTCACGCCATGTTATGGTTTGCTACGCTCTGCCGTGCTCTTCTACGCCATGCCATGCCGTGATCGACCATGCATCGCGCACCCTCTCGCGATCATTGCCCTGCTCGACATCCGACTGTGCGAATAGAGAGCATATCTACGCCATGGGAAATAAGAGCGGTAGGACGTCAGATATGACGCGAGCGCACCTAGCTTGCCTCCTCCCCCTCCCCCCCCCTCCTCCTCCCCCCTCCTCCCTCCTCTCTCTCGTCCTCTCCCTCCTCCCTCCTCCCCCCCCTCCTTGCTCCCAGTCCTGCCTCCTCCTCCCCCTCCTCCCTCCTCCCCCTCCCCCTCCTCCCTCCTCCCCCCCCCCCCCCTCCTCCCCCCCCCCTGTCCCCTCCCCCTCCTGGACGAGGAGCAGGCGGCGGACCCGCGGCCGACGACGCCGGTGGCCGCCGAGGCCCTGGAGCAGGCCCCGCTGGCGGAGGCCAGGGCCCAGCCCGGCGCGCCGTGGCACGTGGGCGGCAAGGCGAGGCGGGAGGACCAGGAGCGCCGCCTCGCCCGGCGGCCTCCCCGCACGGCGCGCCGTGGGGGGAGGGGCTGGCTGTTCGGGGGGGGGGGGCTCGGGGCCCAGACCCCCTCGGGCACGGAAAAAATCACGACGGGAGGTTTTTGGTCATTTTCGGCCTTTGGGGGCCCTTACCGGGCCTCGGGAGCGTCAAAAAACGACTCAGGATGCAGAGCCGGTCATGGGGAAAGGGTCGGGACCTCTGGGGGTCGACGTAATGAAAACATCATGACGTCGGGGGTCTGGGGGGGAGGCGTGTCGGGTTCGGGGGGCAAGGGAGGTTTTCGGGGGTGTTCGTCGGTTCCCCCGCGGTTTTTTTTCCAGTTTCAAGGGTGCTCTCCGGCAGCTGCGCCTCGCCGGGGAGCGTCCAGGGGCGCCCGGATCGTCCCGAGCGGCCGCCGGAGACCCGAGCTGTGGCCCAAAAGCGAGACGGTGGGACGTTGGGCAATGCTCGGCGGGTCTGATGATCCCTTCGCGGAGAGACATACACCTTAGGCGATGCTGAAGAAAGCTTAAATTTTCGGCCAGAGTCTCGATTATTCTTAATGTTTCAAGGTAAATCCTAAGGTTTGAATGGAAATTTTGGGTTTTTATTCAAGTTCTGAGACTCTGAATTTCTAAGCCCATGATTTCTTAAGCATTTCGCAGGGTGTACGAGCTTTGTCCGGCATGAGGGGGGGGCTTGCACAGTCAAGTTTCATAGAGTACGGATGAGCAAGTTTCCAAGGTTAACTTGGCACCCTTCCCCTTTGGCCTATCGTTGGCCGCTTTCGCTGCCCGCGCCCCGCTCGCAACGTGTCGGCATGGCCCTTTTTGGCCCTTGCATCCGTGCGCCCCTATTTCTACGGGTTGGCTGTATCTCGGTGCTCGGAGCCTCGAGATGGCACCGATCGCCCTCCTCTTCCGCGGCCCCGACTGACGGCCAGCTGCCCTGCATTGGGTGTTGCGTATTGGGGGGGGGGGGATCAATTGATGAATGGTGGGGCAGCGAGGGCTGCAGAAAAGCCTTAAGATGGGCCTTCAGGGCCCGAGAAGTGCGCCTCCCCCCCTCCCCTATACACATATGTGGATATATATTTAGATAGATAGATAGATAGATAGATAGATAGATAGATAGATAGATAGATAGATAGATAGATAGATAGATATATGGCCTTCCTATATCAAGCGACGCGCCCATCTGCAGCGGGGTACCCGTTCGCCTGTGGCTGGTGGCGGGGGGGGAAGGAGGGAGGGCGGCCAGCGAGGCACTCCCGGCAGGCCAGGGCACGGAGCTGCACGACCGTGCATCCATATGTCAGGAGGGAAAAAAACACACAGACACAATTAATCGTCGATTTCCCAGAAAATATGGGAAAATATGGGAAGTGGGGGGGAAGACAAAAACCCAGAAAATACAGGAACATATTGGGAATCTTTATATTTGTGTGTATTTATTTGTGTGTCCCCGTTTCCCTTCAATGTGGAGCGTCCCAAAAAGAACCTTGCCTTCGAGGATCGAAGGAGTTGCCATCTCTGCCGCGGCGGAGCGGCAGAAGGTCGGCGGAAGCAAGGCGAGGCCGCCTGCGCTGGCGGAAGGCGGCGGAAGGGCGGCGGAAGTGAAAGATGCGCCCTCACGAGATGAATACATACATACATACATACATACATACATACATACATACAGACAGACAGACAGACATACATACATGCATGCATGCATGCATGCATGCATGCATACATACATACATACATACATACATACATACATACATATACGTACACATACACATATATATATATATATATATATGGGTTCAGGGTTTCCGAAATTGCCCATATGGCTGCAAAGGAACAATCAAGGATCTCTGGCCCCGTCGAGGCTTGCTACTCGGAGCCCGCCTCCAACGCACTTGACCTCAAAGCCTCCTCCGTCGCCTCCCATGTGCTCAGACCTCCTTCCTGGCCGCGCATCGCACAATTGGGGCCAGTCCTCGAGTATGGAATCGACTACAGAATTAATTTACCCAAACATTGAATTGTTTGTTGAGTTCACGAGAAAAGCGTATAATCGTCGTAGATACACGAACAATATGCATGACCCGGCGGGAGAATCAATTCTGGGGTAAACCAATTATGTAGACGATCCCCTACTCGAAGTCTGGGAGATCCAGGTCCGTCCGGATATCCGCCGGCGGTTAGAGAAATATTCGCGCCATGGAAACGAGTGGGACGGAGGAGGTAGTCAGGATGCCAGATTCTCAGAATCCCGACGTCGTGATCTGGTTCACAGCGTCGAGCCCCAGAGGTCTGGACTCCTTCCCCAGGGCCAGTTTTCATCCTGAGTCGTCTTGTTGACGGTCCTGGGGTTTGCTTAGGGCGCCCGGAGGCCGAGCATACCCAACAAAAAAATCCTGTCGCGTTTTGTTTCACGACGCGAGGGGGTGTGGGTTTGGCGCGCGCACACCTGGCTTGCCGCCCCCCAGATCGCCCCAAGACGGCCCAAGAGGCCCCCAAATCGGCTTAAGAGGGCCGCGAGATGACTTGCGAGGCCCCCCGAGAGGGCCCAAGAGATTCCGAGAGGACCCCAACAGGGGCCCAAGAGGACTAAAAAATCCGCGGGGACCTTCACACGTTTATACTGTCTGTCGTCGCCTGATCATCGTAAGGGCGGGAGGAAGAAGGGAGGAGGAGGAGGAGGAAGAGGAGGAGGAAGAGGAGGAGGAGTGCGGTAGGGAGGAGGATGAGTGAGGTAGGGAGGAGGAGGAGGAAGAGAGGAGGAGGAGAGGAGGAGAGTAAGGTAGGAGGAGGAGGAGGAGGATAGGAGGAGGGAGGAGGGGAGGAGGGAGGAGTGAGAGGTGAGGGGTGGGGAGGAGGAGGAAGGTAGGAGGAGGAGGAGGGGAGGAGAGAGGAGGTAGGGAGGAGGAGGGGGAGGAGGAGGAGGAGGAAAGCGAAGAGGCCCTGGAAGCTCTTCTCGACTCGCCTCCGCCGCCCGCCCTGCCCGCCAGGAGTGCTGCCTCGGCCCGGCCCCGGGCTGCGCCGGCCGGGGCGGGTGCCCAGCGCAGTGACGGCGGGCCGCGCGCGCCGTCCGCGGAGGGCGGAGGAGGCGCGGCACGGCGCGGGGCGCTCGCTTGCGCGAGATCCGAGAGGTCCGCGAGGTCCTCCCACGGCCTGTGCCGCTCCTCCCCCTCCCCCTCCTCCTCCTCCTCCTCTCCTACCCTACTCCTCCCTCCTCCCCTCCTCATCTCCTCCTCCTCCTACTCCATCTCCTCCTCCTCCTCCTCTCCTCCTCCTCCTCCTCCTCCTCCTCCTCCTACTACTACTACTACTACTACTACTACTACTCCATCTCCTCCTCATCTCTCGGGACGATCCGCACGGCAAGAAACGCCCTGCTTGCGGGCAGGGTTCCCTGGGTGGCTTGGGCTTCAGTAGTTCTGCTATGGAGCGCGGGGCGTTCCCACACCAGACGTCGATGGGCGCCCTGGGGTCTCGGGACTGTTTTTTTGTTGTGGAAGGTTTCTTGTGTACTGGCCTCCACTGTACGATGCCGAGCAGCAAACGTTGTCCAAGACCTACCGCGGCCGCTCTTGGGCAGGCGGCATCCCGTCTCAAAGTGTGCGACGCCCGTGGCGAGACAACCCCGGCGAGCCTCGTGCTCAGAAGGAGCAGGAGTTGCTGTCGGTCTTTGTGCCCATTCTTTCCGTACCCACTTTGATCGTCCCGAGAGAACAAACGAAGAAAACAACGCCATAAACATAAAGTTTTGGCACTCCGCGCGGTTTTGGGGGATCCGCGCGAGCCCCCACCCCCGGCGGCGCCTCGCCCCTGGCGCGCTCCGCGCGCCAGGGAGGGGGGTGTGGCCCAGATCTAAGAAGACCGCGCGGAGTGCCAACAGTTTATGTTTATGGCGTCGTTTACTTTTTCTATTCTCTCGGGACGATCGAAGTGGGTACGCAAAGACGGTACAAGCCGACAGCAGTTCCTGCTCATTTTGAACAAGACTCTCGGGCCGGGCGAAAGGGGGGGATTGGGAAAGGGGGGGGTACGAAATTTGCTGCATGCAGCTGGTTTCGGCCTCACTGAGGGGCCCATTCCTCGATACATAGCCGCCTCCGGCGCCGGGAGGCGCCGGGAAAATCAGCTACGTGAGCTGATTCTCAAACCCCCCTTTGCTATCCCCCCCTTTCGCCCGACCCGAGACTCGCTGTCGGTGTCTCCGCAGACGTCGCACACTGCAGACAGAAGACCGCCTGGCCAGCAGCGTCCGCTGTAGGTGTTGGACAACATTGGCTGTTCGGCACCGTACCCATTTTTACCACATGCCGACTACGGCGTGCCAAGTCTCAAGGGAGGCATCCTCCCCAGACCCCCTCGCGTTGCGAACAAAAATCGCGACGGGAGGTTTTTCTCGCTACTCTCGGCCTCCAGGGGCCCTCACCGTGCTCCAAGACCGGGAACACATCGCCTCAGGATGAAACGCCGGTCCCAGGGAAGGGGTCCAGACCTTTGGGAGTCGACGTTGCGAAACAAGATCACAACGTCGGGGGTCTGGGTCTCAAGGGCGACATCCTCCTCAGCCACCTCCCCAGGGCAAATATCGATCCGATCGATCCTATCGACCGAGCCGATACCGGCTTCGACCAGCCGGGTCCGATTCGAGCTCGATGCTCCAGCGGTCCGGTGCGGCCAGATGTTCGCACGGCGCTGCTGTGCATCCTGCCGTGTTCGGTCCGAGTCGATTCCGATTCGGTGTGCGGGGTTGAGATGTTGGGGTCCACGTTGCGTGTCAATCACGATGTCGGAGATCTGGATCCCACCGTTCTTCGGTTTACCGCCATCGTCTTTCAAGTGCATGTTGCTCTCTCTCTCTCTCTCTTTCTCCCTCCCTCTCTCTCCCCGTCCCTTCTATCCCTCCTGCCCTCAGAGTCGAAAGTTTGTCCCCCACCTCGTTGTAAGCTTTAGCCGCCGCCGCTGCTGTCGCTGTCGTTGACGATTATCATAAGCGTGTTTCCTTGCTGCGTTTCCCCGTCCCGTTGCTCATATCCCCCATGATCCTCTCCCCCGTGTCTCTCTCTCTCTCTCTCGCTCTTCCTCTCTTTCCTTTGTTTATATATATATATATATATCAAATAAGCATATTTGAATATAAAAAGTTGCATGTGTGTTTACACAACGTATAAGCGAGGGGGGGGATGGGGACAAAGGGGCGAGACCCCAGTGGCGCACCGCTTGTTCATGGCTTGGCCCCCCTGCCTCCCCGCGCTGGTCGGATCTCCTTGCCGTGCTGGGTCACTGGCGTCTCCGACGGGCGGTCCCTTGACCCTCCTCTTGTCGAGTATAGGGGATCGATTACAGAATTGATGTACCCCAGAATTGATTTCCTCGTCGAATCGACACACAACATGCGTAGAATGTTCGTCCTCCTCCTCCTCCTCGTCCTCCTCCTCCAATGGACTTCGTCCTGGCTCTCCTGACTCCTGACTCCTCCTCCTCCTCCTCTCTCTCTCCTCCTCCTCTCTCCTCTCCTCTCTCCTCCTCTCCTCCTCCTCCTCCTCCTCCTCCTCCTCCTCCCATTTTTCCTTCTCCTTTCCTCCTCCTCCTCTCCTCCTCCTCTCTCCTCCCCCTCGTCCTCCTCCTCCTCCTCCTCCTCCTCCTCCTCCTCCTCCTCTCTCCTCCTCCTCTCTCCTCCCCCTCGTCCTCCTCCTCCTCCTCCTCCTTCTCCTCCTCCTGTCCTCCTTCTCCTTTCCTCCTCCTCGTTCTCCTCCTCCTCCTTCTCCTCCTCCTTGAGAAGTGGAACCGGTGGCGAAGGGGGGCGAAAGTCAGGCTCTGTCAATTTGTATTTCAGTTTGTGCACGTTCATTGGGTTTTAGTTGGGGCAGTTCTGGTTGGAGGGTATCAATAGCGTTCGCAAATTAGTGCCGTGGTTTCAGCATAGTGTGCTTTGGCGGGCCGTGGAAGTTGTTTTGCACATCTGTTTGCATGCCAGTTCTGCTTCGCATATTCATGAACATGTTCATCGACCTCCCGTCCGCACCGAGGGGAACGGGGGCTTCGAGCCCATCTAAGTCCACTCGGGCGGCGGCAACGCGCGGTGCTGTTCTTCTGGGTGCTCTCCTTGGACCTCTTCATCGGCATCCCGACCGCGACCAATGGGCACGGGGGCTTCGAGCCCATCTAAGTCCCACTCGGGCGGCGGCGGCTTTTCGCTGGTGTTTGTTCTGGGAGCATATTGTCAGTCACTTCGTATTTCGGTTTTGTTCAATGGGTTTGCTGGGGCATTTCTGGATGGAGGGTATAACTTCAATTTTCGTACATTGGTGCCGTGGTTCCAGCAGTGTGCTTTGGCGGAGTCAATGTGTATGTCGTTTTTGTTAATGAACTTGCTGGGGCAATTCTGTTGAGGAGGGTGCCAATACAGCGTTCGCAATTAGCGCCGTGGTTCCTACAGTGTGTTTTGGCAGATCCGCAATGTCAACGCCCGCAGATTGGAGGGACCCACCTGAGGCAGGTCAGCGTGTACGCGACGAACCCCTTCAGACCTCGCTCGGCATAGCTTTGCTTATAGGTCCGTTGTTCGAAGGGGTGAATTTTGCCAGCGTTTTTCTTCACATCGGAAGGAGTGAACATCGGCGGCGCTTGCAGGTCGGCGCCGCAGTCGTGAGGGACACGACCGTCTTGCTTGCCCCGCACATGGAGGAACTCATCTAAGGCATCGCCCTGGGCTTCCGCCCGCCGCCGCGGCCGTCGGCGTCGGGAGAGCGACATTGTCGCTGTTTGCGTCCTGCGTCCTCCTCCTCCTCCTCCTCCTCCTCCTCCTCCTCCTCCTCCTCCTCCTCCTCCTCCTCCTCCCCCTCCTCCTCCTCCTCCTCCTCCTCCACCACATCCTCCTCCTTTCTCCTTCTCGGGGGGCACTGAGCCTGTCGCTTGTTTCTTTTCCGAGCCCGCAAGACAGCCCAAGAGACCCACACGAGAGCCCGAAGACAACCCCAATAAGGCGCCGCGCGTCGTCGTCGTGGTCGTCGTTGTCATCGTCGACTGCCGTGGGCCTACGCAGCCCCCCCCCCACCCCATGGAGTCGTCGTCTTCGCCGACGCCGCCGTCGTCGTCGTCGTCGTCGCCGACGACGACGACGATTACAGCGGGCATACGAAGCACCCCTGCCCCCCCCCACCCCGCCCCATGGAGCATCCGCAGTGCGTTGCCCCGTCCGCCGTCGCCGTCGCCGCCGTCGTCAACGTCGTAGGACATATTGTAGTGGGGGGGATTGGGGAGATAAGGACAAAGAACGGCCCTTGCCGCCTGCCTCTGCCGTTCCTCCCCCCCCTTTTCTCCCCTGTCTCGTTTGTAGCCATGTCGACACCGCCCGCCAGCTGAGGCGCCTCTTTCCCCCGCCTCCTGTCTCTTTCCTGTCTGTAGCCGTTTTGGCCCAGCCACCCAGCTGCAGCGAAAGCGCTGCAACCCCCGTCCGCTGAAGCGGCGCCGCTTGCGTCGCGCCTGTCGCCCTCCTGCTGCCAGCCCCGCGACTGCGCGAATAGCAGGCGCCGAAGCCGCGCGTTTCCATTGGGCGGGCGTCCCCCCCCCCCCCGCCCCCGCGAGTTGCCAGAGCATGGGCGCCATGTTTTGATTCACGCGCCCCGTGTTTTTTTGGGCAATCGCAATGACATTGCGAGCCAGACAGCCCCAAGATGGGCCGAAATGGCCCTGCTAATCCAACAGCGGCTGGCAGCATAAAATGGCAATGGGCTGGTGACTCGCCGTGGGCGCCTTCGATATTCTTCAGTTTGCAGTTTATCGCCGTCGTTATTCTCATCTTGCTTATCTTCTTCACAGTTATTTCGTATTCCTCCCCTCTCTCCTCCGGGTGCGCTCCCGTCGTTTATGTTCCTGCATATGCGCCATTCCTGTATGATTCCTTGCTGCTCCATATTATTGGTTTCCCCCCTTTTCGAAGAGGTCGCAAGCGTGCGCCACGGAGATATTGAGATTGTTAGCATGTGACCACGATGTGAGGCAACAGTGCATCATTGCCGCCGATGTCGGGTGTCTCCTGTTCTATGGTTTGTAAATGTATAAAACAGTGTTACAGTTTGTGGATGTTGTGGAACTTTTGTGATTATGGAATTGCCTATCGTTGCCTCCGTGTGTTTGGATATCGATTGTCATTGTTTCCTGTAATATTAAATATGTTTATGTCTCTCCTACTCTATCGTTCTCCGTCTCTCGATCCCATTCCTTGAATTGCGCACTCCATACGTATATGCACGCACGCACATCCCTACAGCATTATACGTGCCTCCTGCACAATGCATTTCCCCTCTGTCCGCATGCATCCGCCCGTTTCTGAAGATCCACTTGTGCATATATCTATATATACACTGCAAATGTGAGTGAGTGCGTGTGTATGTGTGTATGTGTGTCCGTATGTGTTTGTGTGTGCGTCTGTGTGTGAGTGCTCGCTCTCTCTCTCTCTCTCTCTTTCTCTCTCTCTCTCTCTTTCTCTCTTTCTCGTTCTTCGTCTACCCCCAGATATCCGACGCCGTGATATCTGGCAACGTGGACCGTTGAGATCTAGACCCCTTTTGCTGGATTTATACTACCATCCCGAGCCGTATTTGACGGTCCTGGGGAGGCCGAGAAGTGCGGACAACTTTCCGTCGCGTTCTTCCACGCCGAGAGGAGGTATGGCTCTGGCCTGATCCTTCTCCCTCGCTCGTCTTCTTCCACAGCCATTTGGCCCACGCCGCGCAGGCGTACCTGTGTCCGCGCGGCGCTGCGCGGCGCTGTCATGGCACCTGCAGCGCCGGATCCCGCCGAGCTGCCCTTCAGCGAGAGGCGGCGCATCTTCAGCGGTGGCGCCTCCGGGAGACTCGCGCTATACATGCTAGTTTGCTCCTTTCCGCTTCGTCTGGCGTTCTCGTCCGTTCCTTGAGGCATTTCTGACACGGGGTCCGTTCCAGCAGCTTCGCCTCGCCGAGAGCGTTCCAGGGGTGCCTATATCGTTCCGAACGGCCGCTGCCCAGGCCTCCTAGAAGGGGTCGGAGTAGATGGGGTCGGAGGATCGCGCCGCATCGCCGATGCATCGCCGATGCATCGCCAATGCGGCTCGATGTGGAGCCCGAATTGCTTCACGTTAACGTCGCCGATGCATCGCCGACGTCAATGATGCATCGCCCGTGCATCCCCGATGCATCGCCGATGCGGCAAGATCCTCCGACCCCATCTACTCCGACCCCATGCAGAAGGCCTCTACGCCGAAGACCCGAGCTTGGACCCAGAGGCCCGCGGAGGGAGGGAGTCGCAACACCGCTGGCACGGAAGAGTGACCCCGTCCACGAAGGCCAGGTCGGCTTCTAAGCAGCCGCCCCGGGTTTCTCAGAAGGCCCCCCCTCTTGCCACCTTCTCCCCCCCTCCTCCTCCTCCTCCTCCACCTCCTCCTCCTCCTCCTCCTCCTCCTCCCGCCCCTCCACCTCCTCATATAACAGAGATCAATGGACGCCCTCGGGTCTCAGGGTTGGGCTTCTTGTGGGAGGTTTCTTGTGGTCGGGTCCCTTCTGTATGCATCGACCCCCAATCGCCCAATGATCGCCGAGAGGGGCCCGAGAGTCCCACTCCTCCCAGGAACGTGGGAACTCGTCATCGGGGCCTGTCGGCGATATGTCGCCGATGCCAGGTCGATGTTTCCCCCCCCCCTAGGTCGAAGTCGGGCCTGTCATTCTACAGGAGGAAAATTCAAAAATAGTCAAAAAATAGTCTGGGGACGATTTTTTGAGCATTGTTTTGCAATGCTGGGGCATTGTTTGATTATTCTTTATTTTCATTCAAAATCCCCCTGTAGGAGGACAGGCCCGACTTAACCTTAAGCCTATCCCCCACTATCGCTGCCCCTCAAGACTTACGCGGGAGGCGTGGGAAATAGAAGCTGGCGGCGAGCCCGCCGATGGAAGCCGGCGGAGGCAGACATCGGTCTTCCAGAAGACGGCCCGCTTCGATTCGTCCGCTTCGATGCGTTCTTCGAGTCTTTGTTTATGTGTTTTGTTCTTGTGTTTTGTTGTTCTGTCTTTCTTAAAAAGAGAATCATATAACAAAAACAAAAACTGTGCTTCGCTATGTTCGGCCTCTGGGAGCCCGTACTGGGCCTCGGGACCGTAACAAATCGATGCGGGATGAAAATTCGGTCCCGGGGAAGGTGCCGAGACCTCTAGGGGTCGACATTATCTTAAAACTTACCCCAGTGCGACCATACCTAGAAGTTGGAGCCCCTAGGAAAGCAGCATTAGTTGCTATGCTATGCTATGCTATGCTATGCTGTGCTATGTTATGCTATGCTATGCTATGCTATGCTATGCTATGCTATGTCATGCTGCGCTGTGCTATGCTAAGCTATGCTGTGCTATGCTATGACATGCTATGCTATGCTATGATATGCTATGCTGCGCTATGCTATGATATGCTATGATTTCATTGGCTATGTTATGCTATGCTATGCTGATGCAGCGCTGCGCTATGCCAAGATAAGATGAAGCTAAGCTAAGCGAAGATGACATCAGTTAAGCTAAGATGAGATAAGCGACGCTAAGCTAAGGGGACAAAACTGGGGGAACCGCGGGCGGATACTGGGGGAACCGCCCGGGGCGATTTCCACTGCCCGTCCCCTTTAAGCCCAGAGAGTAAGAACCCTTCTAGGCAGAGCCTAGGTAGGGAACTACATAATATAGCGACTTATGTATAATAATAATAATGATAATAATAATAATGATAATAATAATAATAATGATAATAATAATAATACTAATAATAATAATAACACTAATAATAATAATAATAATAATAATAATAATAATAATAATTTCCCAGAAGATGAAATGTTCTTGGGCTCAGGGCTTCTGGAACGAGCCCAGAAGAAACGCGCCCTGGAGAAGTGACGCCCCAGGGCCCATTCTGGTTCGATAGATCCGATTCGATTTCGAGCTCGAGGATCTCGATCATATTCGACTTCGTTTCCTCAGCAGCCCGATGTGGCCCCACGCTCGCACGGCCGATTTCGAGTCCTTTCCGCTGCAGCCCGATCCGATGCACGTTCCGGTCAGAGCTCCGGTGTTTCCCGATTCGATGCTGACCAATCTTGCGCGCAGGTGCAAGGTCTTGGCGCACGCCGCAGCTAGAGATGTTCAGTATCGTTTCTCCAATCCCCATCCCCATCCCCATCCCCTTCGAGACCCCCACCAAATTACCCCCCCAGTTGGGGATACACCCCTCGAAACCCGAAGGGAACGGCCTATATCCCCATCTAGGGGGGTAAATCGGCCAGTGGGGCCCAGGCCACGCCGCTGGGGATAGGGATCGGACAAACGATACTCAGATGTGGTTTTGAGCGCCGCCCCACTATCAGCGGGGGTTGCCACGGGTGCCCCCGGCCCAAAGTGTCCCCAGCTTTTCGCTCCACTTTGGGGCCCTCTCTGGGCCCTCGGGGCCTCGTGACGGGTGCTCCAGAGGCCGTGGGTGCCCCCTTGGAAATCCTCGGGGCACCCTGGGCCAGGGGCACCTCTAGCAGCACCCGACGCTGGCTGAACGTCGAACTGCTGGCACGGTCGGGACCCGCCCTCAGTGGGCCCTGGAAACGGCAGGGCCGTTTTTATCATGGCTTCTGGAAAATGTTTTCTGAAACGAGGAAACGGCACTTCGAAACGGCAACAAAGACAGCTCCACAGTTGGAGCCGTAACACGAACCAGCAAAGAAACGGTGACGGAACAGGCAAAAAAACGGCGTCCGAAGTGCCCGGTGCTGCTAGAGGTGCCCTTGGCCCAAGGTGCCCCCGGGATTCCCCAAGGAGGCCCCCCCCCGGCCTCCAGAGCACGCCTCACGAGGCCCACGGGGGGCCAGGGTCCCTCCTCCTCCCTCTCCTCCTCCTGCTCCTGCTCCTCCTCCTCCTCCTCCTCCTCCTCCTCCTCATCCTCCTCCTCCTCCTCCTCCTCCTCCCGCACATTTGGCAACCCCCGAAACTCGCAAAACAACTGCAGAACGGAACCGGCAAAAAAAAGGCCTTGTCGTTCCCAAGGCCCACTAAGGACCGTACCCATCGGTCGCTGAAAGTCCGCAGTTTTGGAGTCCCAGATTCCAGTCTACTCTAGCCCCCTTCCTACTTGAAGAGTCGCGTGGTTTTCCCTCTTCCCTCCTCTGCAGGAGGCGGGCGGAAACCCAATCTTCTTCCAACGCCTTCCTACTTCATGTTTCGAACTACCTCTTCCGACCGATGCGCACGTCCACTCGCGGGGACGGCTGGACCCGCCCAGCCCACATGTCGGGCGCGGAGAGCTGTCGTCCAAGCGGCGGGCCCCAGAGGTCTCTCGACCCGTGCCTTCTGGGGCAGTCGAGCGTCCCCGAGGAAGTGTCGATTGCTCGGGGGGGCAGCGGCGGCCCCAGAGGCACGGAATTGACGAGGAAGCATCAGGAAGAAATCTAGGCCTCCCGGATGGGGTCGGAGTAGACGGGGTCGGAGGATCGCGCCGCATCGCCGACGCATCGGCCATGCATCGGCGGTGCGGCTCGATGTGGAGCCCAATTTTCTCCACGCCGACGTCGCCGATGCGTCGCCGATGTCGCCGACGCATCGCCCGTGCATCGCCAATGCATCACCGATGCATCGCCGATGCATCAGCGATGCGTCGCGATCCTCCGACCCCATCTACTCCGACCCCATCTGGGAGACCCCTAATACAAGAACCCGTTTCAGGCCGAAGCCATCGCGCTTGAGACGGGGCTCACGGACATGAAGAAGTACACGTTGTTCATTTCCAATTATTCGAGAGTTCTTTGATTTGTTGGGGGGGCCAGGATCCTTTCATTTCTAATTATTCGATCCTGGGCCTCTTCCTGGCCACTAGGGGACCAGGGACACTTAGAAACGAGCACAATCAGAAATGAGCACGATTAGAAATGAAAGACGTGCACACCTGATGCATTATGCCATGGTGGTACTGCCGCTGCCTGCTGCCGGGGAATGCTTGGGGACTCCAGGTCGCAACCGTCCGCAAGGAAGAACCCTGAGAAAGAAATGAAGACGCAGCCTAACTTAGGTTTCCGTCTTCGCATTAGGGATACATATGGGCGACGTGGCTCGCTAAGTACAGCTACGGCAAAGACTCCCGATGCGAAGTGGCTTTCGATTTCCAACTTAGGTTCCCTCCCAAAGGGTTTGGGATCTTTTGTTGATTAGGCAAGAAACGCCGGGATTCGAAACGCATCTACTCAAGATTTACGCTGGGCCGTCCCAACCCAGACATCTCCTGGTCGCGAAAAAAAACACCAAGACTTGAGGTGTTCAAAAGCTTTCGGCCTCTGGGGACCCCTGTTGGGCCCCACAACCGTCAAAAACGACCTGGAATGAAAAACTGGTCCCAGCGAAGGGGTCAAGACTTCTACGGAGGCCCCGTGGGATGGGGTTCATGACGTCGGAGATCTGGGCTGGGAGCCTTCTCCTCCTCCTCCTCCTCCTCCTCCTCCTCCTCCTCCTCCCCCTCCTCCTCCTCCCCCCTTAATCACCCCTCATCATCCTCTTCCTCCTATCGTCTTTTCTTTGTAGCATGAGTAAGCTTCTTCTTGTTATTATTACTATTGATCCCGTCTTCTGATCTCAGTCAAGCATACGATAAAGAAACCTCCTGCCGAAAAGCTGGGCCAGCGTTTCTTGATCAACTGGCCAGAAAGCTGGCCCAGTTTCTTGCAGGCTCGCCCCCTCCAGCGTTAACAACAGAAATGTACCCTTGATTGGTTTAAGAAACTTGTGAACAGCCGGCCCTGTCACATCATTATGAATCTTACTCTTCGTTTTCTTCTTCTTATTTTTATTATTATAGTTATTCTTCTTAGTATTATTTGTTATATTTTCACCTCCCCCTCCTCCTCCCCCCTCCCCCCCTCCTCCCCCCACCCATCCCTCCTCCCCCCTCCCCCCTCTTGCTTGGAGCGCCCCTCCCCCCGAGGAAGACGGCGCCCCCTGCCCGACGGCCCTCCCCGCTGTGGCCGCCCGCGCTCGCAGCCTGCGCCGGCGGCGCGCAGGACCGCGGCCGCCTCTCCAGCCTGGGCGCTCGCCCACTCGATGTCCCTCCTCACCCTCCTCCTGGATCCTCCTCGTCCTCCTCCTCCTCCTCCCCTTCCTCCTCGATCCCTCTCCTCCTCCTCCTCCTCCTCCTCCTCGATCCTCGATCCTCGATCCTCGACCCTCTCCCCCCCTCCTCCTCCTCCTCCTCCTCCTCCTCCTCCTCCTCCTCCTCCCCCTCCTCCTCCTCCTCCTCCTCCTCCTCCTTCTCCTCCTCCTCCTCCTCCTCCTCCCTCTCCTCTCCCCTCCTTCTTCTCCTCCTCCTCCTCCCAGATCCCCTCGCGTTACGAACAAATATCACGACGAGATGTGTTTCGTTGTTTGCGGACTGGGCCCAATTGCCGTCAAAAAACGACTCAGGATGAAGAACCGGTCCCGGGGAAGGGGTCCAGATCTCTAGGGATCGATTTTGAAAAGATCACGACGTCGGGGGTCTGGGCGGAGGATCCTGTCGGGTCCTGCAGGATTTTGCCGGATCCTGCAACGCCTGACTGACCCTGGTTTGGATTGACCCGGTTCAGAAGATCCCCGATTAGTCCAGGTGCTGCGAGACGCATTCTGGACTCAAGCAGTCCCCAGTCTGCGGCCGCTTGCGAACCCTACCCCTACCCAGAGAAGGAGAAGGTCGTTTCGTTGTCGCCTTTTTGCGCCTCCCAGGAGTCTTTCGTCGCCACCGCTGGATTCGCCTGGAAATTCTGGTCAGAACGCACCCTGGGAACGGTCCGAGGAGTAACATCATCGGGTTCATTATTTCCGTCGTTGTTCCTCTAGCCTTCCTCGTGCACGTAGGCGCATTGAGGACAAAAAGGGTGTCGTTCCTTCTTTCTCGTTCCTCATTTCAGCAGCCCGACTGTACTCCTACGGGTCCAACCGACGCTGGAGTATCTGACACGCCCGCTGGGCTTCACCTAGCTGCGGGCATCCTGGAAATTCTGAGCCCCGTCCTGTTCTTCAGAAATCTGAATTGCAGATTGCAGTTCACATGTGGTGGCCAACTTTAGGATTTACAGGGAAGCCTTATGTTCTCCAGAGAACCCATCACGAGGCCCAAGAGGGCCCCAGGAGCTCAACAACGGAGTGAAATGCTGGGTGCGTTTTGGGGCTCCTTTGTGGAAACCCGCGACCCTCGCCTGGGCTGGTGGACGCCGCTGCGGAGGCCTTTCGGCGGCCCTTCCCAAACTTTTACTCGTCGTGCAGCGATCGCGACGGGAGGTCTGTCGCGGGCTTCGGCTTGTGAGAGCCCATAGCAAGCCCCGGGATGCAAAACCGGCGTCCACGTTGTGAAAAATCCGGGGGCTCGTAGAGGGAGGGTTGTCCCAAGGGTGGGCTGGGGAACGGGCCCAGCTGGCTGCTCCCGCTGAACGCGCCTCCCCCCTTCCAGGGGCCGTTTGGAGTGATGTTCCACTCCAGCCCCACCTTTGCCCCAACCCCACCTCCGTGCCCCCCCCCCCCCCGAAAAGCACGACGCCGGGGCCCTTTTCTCCTGGGCTTATGTCAGACCCGGGTTTGCCGGGACTCGGGTTCGCCATCGTTTTTTGACGACTGCGCCTCGGATTTTGACGAGGAGGAGTTTCGTGGGATGTCTGCAGCGGGAGGCCTCGTCAAAATGCAGGCTCGGCCTCGTCATTTTTTTGACGACCTCGTCGGGGATTTCCGAGTCCCCCGTACCCAGGTCTTACGTCTCCCCGATTATGATGTCCCAACCTACTCTAGCCTTGACCACAAGAAAGAATTTCGGGCACCAGGAGGGTACCGAAATCGGATGGCTTCTCACGTGCCCGGTCCTGGGAGGCGATTCTCGTTCGACCCTGTTTCGACATTTTTCAGGGCGCTCGAATCCATTTCTTGGATTCAGGAGGGAAAAGACACACACAGACAGACACAATGGATTGTCGATTCCCCAGAAAATGTTGGAAAATTAGACAAAACCCAGAAAATATTGAAAAATATTGGAAATCCTGCTGTTTGTGTCTATTGATTTGTGTGTCCCGAGGCCCCTTCAAGGATGTGGTTTTTTGAGTACGGTGGGAGCAGCACAGTCCGAGGCCAGCTTTCCCCCATCCCGAGCCGCCGCTGGACGGCGGCGGGGCCCGGAGCGGGACCCTTCCCGGGAGCCTTCCGTTGTCCGTCGTGCGTGTGTGTGTGTGTGTGTGTGTGTGTGTGTGTGTGTGTGTGTGTGTGTGTGTGTGTGTGTGTGTGTGTGTGTGTGTGTGTGTGTGTGTGTGTGTGTGTGTGTGTGTGTGTGTGTGTGTGTGTGTGTGTGTGTGTGTGTGTGTGTGTGTGTGTGTGTGTGTGTGTGTGTGTGTGTGTGTGTGTGTGTGTGTGTGTGTGTGTGTGTGTGTGTGTGTGTGTGTGTGTGTGTGTGTGTGTGTGTGTGTGTGTGTGTGTGTGTGTGTGTGTGTGTGTGTGTGTGTGTGTGTGTGTGTGTGTGTGTGTGTGTGTGTGTGTGTGTTGCACGGCTCGCTGGGGCCTGGGCTCCTCCTCCTTCCTCCCCCCCCCCTGGCCCTCGAGGAGAGCCCCCTCCGGGTGCCAGTCCCCGCTTCTCCCCCTCGTCGCTCCCCCCCCCCCCCCCCCCCCACCGTCTCCCCGTCCTCCCCGTCTCTTCCGCCCTTCCCTCCCGCGTCCCCTCTTCTCCCCCCCCCCCATTCTCCCCCTTCCGTCCGTTTCACTCCCTCCTCTCCACCTCCTCTCCGCCTCGTCTCCCCTCTTCTCCCACTTCCCCTCTTCCCCCCCCTCTTCTCCTCTCTCTCTCTCTCTCCTCTCTCTCCTTCTCCCCCTCCCTCCCCTTCCCTCCCATCTTCCCCCTCTTCCCCTCTCCCTTCCTTTTTTGTCTTCTCCCCCATCTTCTCTCCTCTTCCCTCCCTCGTCCCATCCCTCCTCCCTTCTCCCTCTCGGGGCGAATGGGCGGGAGAGATTTTGAGTGCTTGCGGAGACTGCTGCATGCAGCTGGTTTCGGCCCCGCCGCTGGGCTCCTTCCTTCATGCATTGTCGCAACTGGCGTTGGGAGGCAACGGAGCAGATTCTTACGTGAGCTGATTCGCGAATCTTGCTTATGTTATCATCCAAGTCGCCCGCCCCAGTCTTCCCATATGTTTCTCTATGTTCCCTCCC